GGCGGAAAGCTGGTTGAGAAATAGGAATCTAAGCAACAATTTGGGCAAGGATCATTCTAGGCAAAGGGATCATCAGTTAAGACCAAGGCTCTAAAATGTGATCAAGGAACAGAGGAATGTGGGCAGGCAGAAGCACCGTGCGTGAGAAGGAAGGTGATATCAGAAGAGGCTGGGGGGGGTGGGGCGGGTAGTGTCAAACCAAGGGGGAGCCTTGTAGGTCTGGTTAGAGATTTGGGTCTTTATACTAAAAGCAATGGAAAGCTGTGGGTTTTAAGCAGATAGGCGATGTGATTAGATTTAGGATTTTATTTTATTTTTTGTGTTTTTTAGTTCGAGAGAGAGAGAGAGAGAGCAGAAAGAGAGCGAGAGAGAATCCCAAGCAGGCTCTGTGCTGACAGCACGCGGGGGCTCAAACCCATGAACTAGGTGATCAGGACCTGAGCCAAAATCAAGAGTCAGACGCTTAAACCAGCTGAACCACCCAGGCATTTTAAATAATCACTTTGGTTTGTAGTATATGTGCTGCTGAAGCGAGCACATCACTTTGGGTTTTAGAAGGAATTAGAGCAAAAACAAAATCAGGATGATCAGTAGGAGACTAAGGCAGGAATTCAGAAAAGAGAATGGTGGTCGTTTGGAGCTGAGAAGTGACAGTGCAGATGGGGGTCTGACATAGGTTTGAAAGCAATGGGAGAGGTCCAATTGGTACAGGTTGGTAATGACGTGGATTTTGAAGTGACGGAGGGAGGAGGCATGCACTGTGTGCAAGAAGCTATAGGCCCAGTAATAATAGGGTAGAAACACAGGGCAAATATGGAAGGTCAGCTACCTCAACTCTCACCCATAGTATTTAAGTATTCCTATTCACGGCTGTGTATGTGTGTGTGTGTGTTCGGCAGAGCCATAAACCAAATCACACGTTGCCCTTCAAGAGCTCACATATTACTGGGTAGACACATGTCTACAAATGGTACACAACATCAAAAACAAGGCACTAGAAAAAGACTTACTGTATGACAAGCCAGTGGTCTGTGTCTGCTAAACACTGTTAGGAGGAAGTAGAGACAGGAGAGGCCGGGGCCCACAGAGGTCTTTAGTTTGGAGGTAATGTGCTAACTACTGGCAGCAATGAGGTGTGTGGGGTTTTTGTTTATTTTTATGTATGCACTATGCCCAGCCCACTGTGGGGCTGGAACTCAAGATTAAGAGTTGCAAGTTCCACCCACTGGGCCAGCCAGGCACCCAGGGCAGTAACGGGGGCCTATTTCAAGACGGGGAAGAGGGCTGAGGAGTGGGAGGCAAGAAGGACCCTGGCCGTGGGCTACCTGCTCTTCCCCTCCGAGCATAAAGGAGCATATGCAGAAGAGCCTGTGCACCACAGCAGATGGCACTGGGGACTGTGAGAGCCCCAGGTGTGTGAAGTGCCAGAAGGATCTTTCTCTGATTTAACTGGTGGACGGAAGCCTAGAGTGATCAACTGACCTGTCCAAGGACGGTCGGCTAGTAAGTAACTGCATGCAAACCAGAAACTGGGTCTTGTGACCCCTGCTTCTGTGCCGCTTCGACATCCTGCCCCCATGTGTCATTTACAGACGGTGTGTACGAATCAGTTCTAGCTGGGTTCAGGGTTATGCTGCTTGTGTTTAATAATGCATCTTTTGTGTCCCTCTCAGTCCCTAATTGGCTGCCTCTCGTGGGATACCCTTCCAAGACACCTTCCGTTAACTCAGTGCAAAATCCTCAGAATGTCACTTCTGAGGGATGTCGTACTCAACTCTGCACATCTCATTCTACAGTCTACCCCTGGACAAAACACGCTACCCCTGGGAAGATGGTACCCCCGGGTTTCACATAAATTACCCCTTACCTCTGCTGGCCAGGCTTTCCCTCACTTCCCATCTCAATTTTACAGATTGCTGTTGTTTAACATATGGATCGTACTGGATTCAGTGTAGTACTTAAGTAGATAAAATAAGTGAAGGTGGTATAGTCTCATATTATAAAAGGGATGTAAATCGTTCCCTGCTAATAGGGGCGTGGCCTCTTCTGCTTCAGGCCAGGATAGTGACGGGAAGTATGAATTGGCAAGTCCATCCCTGACTAAGGAATCATTCAAGCATTCACTGAACTCTTTACACATTGTTTCACAGGGAACCAGACAAACTGGAGGGGAAGAAGCCTGGAAAAAAAAGCAAAGGAGTCCACTGGAAAGGGGAGATTTATGCATTTATAAATGTCATGTCAGAAACAGCCTGTCACGGGAGGAGCTACGAAATCTAGGGCATGGAGGCCGACATTTGGGCAGCGATATTTAAAGATTGAAGAAATTCTAATAAAACAGCGGCTATGCTGTTCCTATACAAACTAGGAAACCAGAGTTGAGAAGAGGGAGTTGTTTATAGAAGCATTCTAGCTAATAAATGAAGAAGGAATAAGTGATAGAAATAAACCTCACCACTTGACAAACCCAAATGAAATAAGGGCGTGTCAGATGGCTGCTAACCTCTGAGACAAAATAGCACTCATGTACCTCCTGGTAGAACACAAGATCACTTGGGAATATTCTTCCCCGCCCTCCCCTGCCCCCATCTGATCATGTTTACACATCCAAAGACCAATATTAGGAAAGTAGAGGCTAGAAGAACATATTAAAGGGCCCCAGAGGATGGAATCAGCAAAAACACGGAGTTGTGGGAGGCACAACGGGACAGAGAGGAAAAAAGGGGAGAACTTCAGATCAAGGCTTGCAAGGAACATACCACCCAATCGCTACAGAGAACTTATTTGGATTTTGATTCAAACAAACAAAATTTAAATAAAATGCAAACAACATAAGATAGTTAGGGACATGTGAACATTGACTGAAATATCTGACGATACTGTGAATCATTGTTAATTTTTTTTTTCAGTATTGTGGCTGCATTTAATAGAAGAGACACCTTCTAAAGCAGTGGTTTTCAAACACAGGCATGCATCACCATCGCCTGGAGGGCTTGTTAAAACAATACTGCCGAGTGCCAGCTCTAGATTTTCTGATTCAGCAGGTCTGGGGTAGGAGCTTGGAATGTGCATTTCTAGCAAGTTCCCAGGTGACAGTAACTCTACTGATCTGGGCTCACATTTTGAGAACCTCTGCACTGGATTAACCAGATTTTTTTTTTCCTGGTCAATTATCTAACTACTCTTTCAAAGAAAAAGCTTCTGTCATCAGCAGTTCTAGCCCCCTGAGTTACAGCACGCAGACCGCATTCCACACAATGGAAGAGAATGAACCCATGTTCCAAGGCTCATGTAATAATTTAGTCTGTATTGCCATAGGAAGGAAAGGAAGAAATTTCTTGGAAGGAAAATACCTTCGGCTCACCAGTTTTCCCTTAGAGTGCGAAATCCCGCTCCCTCCTGAGCCACCTGTGCCTGCCCTTGCCTTTCACTCTCACTCCGTGAGGATCAAGGACCCCCAGCACAGGATCCTAAAAAGCTCCCTGGAACTTAGGCTGCATCCTTCCATCATGTCCAAATTCAAAACAGTTTGATGCAGATAATATGGGGCGGCCAGTCCAACGTGTAGTGTCTCTGGGACACTAACAAATCTCAGAGCTGGTCTCTTCTACGTTGTCAGGGAGAAGACCCACAGCCAAATTCTGGGTCTGTGTCACCTAGGTGGCCCACGATGAGTTGCTTAGCATTTTTAGGCCTTAGGTTTTCAACAGGTAAAGAAAGAAGTCTGTTATGAGAGCAAATGGGACAGCTGGAGAAATATTAGCCAGAGTTCTTCGGAGGGAACACATTTGCAACAATACTAGAACACCGAACTTTAGAGATATTATTACTTTATAATTTAACAACAAAGTGCTTGTGTGTGTATGTGTGCATTAGATCCTCACAACAACCTTGTGAGGTAGGTAAGGTAGAGGCTGAGAGAAGGTAAAGTCTGGCAAAGTAAATGTCAGGGCCAGGACTCAAACACTTCACCTTCTCAATGAAGTCAGTGTTCTTTCCAACACACTGCCTTCCCTCAATTTACTTCAGTTAAATACAGGAATGTACTGGGACGCCTGGGTGGCTTAGTCGGTTAAGCGTCCGACTTTCGCTTAGGTCATGATCTCACGGTTCGTGGGTTCGAGCCCCGCGTCGGGCTCTGTGCTGGCTGCCAGCTCAGAGCCTGGAGCCTGTTTCAGTCTGTGACTCCCTCTCTCTCTGACCCTCCCCTGCTCACGCTGTCTCTCTCTCTCCTAGAAATAAATAAAACATTAAAAAAAAAAATACAGGAATGTACTAGTACATCAAATGAATGACTCTAAAAAAAAAAAATCAGGGAGTTGCATTAACTTAAAACTAACGGGCCAATGACCTGGGCGATTCAAAGACAGGAGTTGTTTCCTTCAGCTAAAGGCCAGGAAGGATCCCTGTAATATCTAACATCTCAGCGATTTTGCTTCCAGAGTTTTATAGTCCCCTTCCAGGTCCCTCTGGCTTGTTCACTGCAGGATATTTTCTACGCCTCAGATGACAGCAAACCTCCAGTGGGAGCACCTCATCCATGGCTGTACAAAGAGTTTCTGAAATTCTTTCAGCCTCTAAATCACAGGACCACAAACATCGTCTACAAGAATTCTGCCTTGTCATGGCAATGAGACATCTGGTGACTAATGTCTGCACAGCACTGGATTGGGAGAGTGATTTCTGTTTTATTAAATCTGTGTGTTCACACCCCAAATCCTATAGTGGCAATCTAATTTCTTGCAAGTTCTGGGCTTGTGGGGCTGCACTAACGGATTCCTTATTGAGTCATAAGGCTAATTAAGCGCAACCAACCTCATAGTGAGTGCCTTTTAAGGGCCAGTCATTATACGGTATTAAGGGCTTATAATAAGATCTCAAATATTAATCACTAATAGTGATAATGTGGCCACATTTATCTCACTTCTCTTTTACTTACCAAGCATCAACCGTCAAACTCACATTTCCCTAAGGTCAGTCAAAAACACTGAAGGAATGCCTTTTGTGTTCAGAATCTTATTTGGAGCCTATGGGTTTATCTCCGCCATTTAAGCACGGAAAAAGAGGACAGACCAGGGCCCAACCTGAGCCTCTGATGCCCAGGGTCAGGCTTTCTGTACATGGAGCACCTGGAGACCAGAGAAATGAAAATCTGGAAGGGGCAGCAGACCATTTCCTAGATCAGATGGGTGTTTTGATGGCATAAAAGGTGTGCTTTCTGACGGAAGCTCTTGTCACACCTACTACAGTGGAAAGGTTTTTCTCCTGTATGGGTTCTCTGGTGTGTGAGGAAATGCGAACGCTGATTGAAGGTTTTGCCGCACTCGGGACAGCGATAGGGCCTGTCTCCTAAGTGGATTCGTTGATGGGTAATGAAGTGGGAGCTCTGGTTGAAGCTCTTCCCGCACTCGCCACATTTGTAGGGTCTTTCCCCCGTGTGGATCCGTTGGTGCTTTATGAGGGCAGAGCTGTCGGCGAATCCCTTCCCGCAGCTGTCACACTTGAACGGCCTCTCACCTGTGTGCGTCCTCTGGTGCGTCACCAGGTGTGAGCTCTGACTGAAGCTTTTGTGGCAGCGAGGACAGCTGAAAGGCCTTTCCCCTGAGTGAGTACTCATGTGCGCCACAAAGTGAGAGCTGTCCCTGAAGCCCTTCCCACACTCCGCGCATTTAAAGGGCCGTTCTCCCGTGTGGGTGCGCCGGTGCTTCACCAGATCTGAGCTCTGGCTAAAACCCTCCCCACAGTCACCGCACCTGTAAGGTCTCACTCCTGTGTGGGTCCTCTGATGGGTGATGAAGTTTGAGCTTCGGCTAAAGCGTTTATGGCATTCGAGACACGTGTAGGGCTTCTCTCCTGTGTGGGTTCTTTGGTGCATCATGAGGTGTGGCTTCCGCCCAAAAGCCTTCCCGCACTCAGGGCACTCATAGGGTCTCTCGCCTGTGTGGGTTCTCTGGTGCTTGATGAGCGTAGAGCTGTCGCTGAATTTTTTCTCACAGCCGCTGCACTGATAAGGTTTCTCTCCTGTGTGCGTTCTGCGGTGGGTGACAAGGTCTGAACTCTGTTTGAAGCCTTTCCCACACTCGATGCATTTATAAGGCCTCTCACCTGTGTGGGTTCTCAGGTGTCTTATGAGATAGGAGCTCTGGTTAAAGCTTTTCCCGCATTCTGAGCACACAGGCCTCTTTCCTGCATAGCCATCCAGGTGCTCGTTTAAATCTTTCTCTTGTGGAAAGGACCCGGGCTGGCCCTCTCCTGGGCGGGTCCCATGTTCCCCTTCCAACTCAAGGTCCCTCTTCCAGTTTTCTCCCCAACTAGGAGTATGAGAAATATCCTTACTGGCCCTTTCTGAGGATGTTCCACATTGTTCTGCTATTTCTGAAATGTCCCGGTTGAGTTTTGTCACCTGGTTCTCAAAGTCTGAAAAATTAACAAAAGTTAACCAGTGATTGGGAAAAACCTCAGGAAGCAGTAAGGAAGACTGACATTAGTGGTTTTGCAGCAGACTGCACTTAATTTGACTACTCTGATTTTAAACCTTGTGAAAAGTTTTAGTTTTTTATTTTTTAAAAGATTTTATGTTATTTTTATAGTACAGGATAGCACATCCCATCTATTTGATCATATCTATGTTATACAGCCACTTTTACTGCTGTAAAGATTTTATTTTTAAGTAGTCTCTGTACCCAATGTGGGGCTTGAACTCACAACCCCCAGATCAAGAGTCATATGCTCTACTGACTAAGCCAGCCAGATGCAATTATTTATCAAGCTTACAAAATTTAAATTCCTAAGCTCTTTTCATTTTAAGATAAATTAAAATTTTTTTAATGTTTTATTTATTTCTGAGATAGAGAGGGAGAGACAGCATGAGCAGGGGAGGGTCAGAGAGAGAGGGAGATACAGAAACCGAAACAGGCTCCAGGCTCTGAGCTGGCTGTCAGCATAGAGCCCGATGTGGGGCTTGAACCCATGAACTGTGAGATCGTGACCTGAGCTGAAGTTGGACGCTTAACTGACTGAGCCACCCAGGCGCCCCTAAGATGATTTTTTTTTTAATGGTTATTTTTGAGGGAGAGAGACAGAGTGTGAGCAGGGGAGGGGCAGAGAGAGAGGGAGACACAGAATTCCAAGCAGGCTCCAGGTTCTGAGCTGTCAGCAGCTGACGTGGGGCTCAGACTCACGAGCTGTGAGATCATGACCTGAGCCTTGAGATCATGATGTGAGCCAAAGTTGGACACTTAACAGATTGAGGTACCCAGGTGCCCCTTAAGATGAATCTTGAAGTAACCTTGATGTCCTTCAAGAGTATTTACCACATATTGTCCAAATTGAGCAACTCCTTTCAAAGATGTTATGGTATAGACAAAAGTGAAATGCTTATTTAAAATGAAGACTTTAGGGGCACCTGTGTGGCTCAGTCGGTTAAACATGGTTTCGGGCTCAGGTCATGATCTCACGGTTTGTGAGTTTGAGTCCTGCACTGAGCTCTGACAGATCTGTCTCTCTCTCCCTGTCTCCCAAAACAAACAAACAAATAAACAAACTTACAAATTTTTTTTAAAAAAGTGAAGACTTTAGGGGTACCTGGCTGGCTCCATCAATAGAGCCTGTGATTCTTGATCTTGGGGTTGTGAGTTCAAATTCCATGTTGAGCACAGAGTTTACTTAAAAAAATAAAAATAAAATGAAGGGACTTCAGCTCAGGTCATGATCTCGTGGTTCGTGAGTTCAAGCCCAACATCCAGCTCGCTGCTGTCAGCGCAGAGCCTACTTTGGATCCTCTGTCCACCCCTCTCTACTCCTCCCCCACTCACACTCTCTCAAAAATGAACTTTTTTAATTAAAAAAAAAAAGAAATGAAGATTTTATTTGGTCAGTTACTGGCTGCCCAAGAAGTCAAATTTAAACTTCTAACAGTGAGAATAAAAGTCTACGATAGCATTCCAAATTCTTTATCCAAACAAGGGCTGAAATGCTAGATTTCCTCCCACCAGATAATATTCACATCTCACCTGTGTGACTTTCCCTTAGGATCCCTCTTGCCTCGAAATTCTGGAGTGGTAGCACCCACGGCTCTTCTTTCTGCTCCAGCTGGGAGATCACACTCGGTCTGGAAATCCTATACAGGAAGGTGAAGAGAGATGTTCATCTGAACCAATCATACAAAGCCTGACCAAAAGACAAGCCCTCCTTCTTCCCTAAGCAGAGGAGAACACTCAGGGAGATGCTAATGTGTGTTTGGTCTCATTGAAATAATGAGATGAAATAATAAAACAGATGATCTCCCGAAGAGGCTGAGAAAAAAGCCCCTTTCCTCCCATTAAAAACACACACATACACATGCGCGCGCACACACACACACAGACACACAACAGACTTGGGTGACAGAAACTCTAGAGTGAGCACAATAATTCATCTCTGAAGGTACAAGGCTAAACTCACAGAGAGAGATAATTTGATCAGAAACAACACTGCCATGACCTCACCCTTAGAAAGAATCAAGGAAGTTGACCATAGTGCTGGGCTTTAAACATTTCCCAGAAGGGCAACTGTAGATACAACCATGAGAAAAAGACAAACACTTGCAAAAAACAAAAAACAAAAAAAAATGGGCAAAGGTCATAAATAGGCAATTCACACACAGACACATAAATACAAGCAGCCTATAAATATATGAAAAATTTTTAACCTTTACCATTAACCAGAAAAATTATGATACATGACCTGAGCCAAAGTCAGATGCTTAACTGGCTGAGCCACCTAGGTGCCCTGAGTGTATATTACTTTTGAAGTAAAGCAAGGAGAAGGGGTAAGCATAGTATTTTAGAAAGAGCACTGGAGGTTTGGGTTCGTTTAAAATTTTTTTAACGTTCTATTTTTTAATAGAGAGAGACAAAGAGAGAGAGTGTGAGCAGCGGAGGGGCAGAGAGAGAAAAGGAGACAGAGAATCCAAAGCAGGCTCCAGGCTCTGAAATGTCAGCACAGAGCCGGATGCAGGGTTTGAACCCACAAACCGTGAGGTCAAGACCTGAGCTGAAGTCCGACGCTTAACGGATTGAGCCACCCAGGTGGCCCTGCTTGTTTTTTTAAGTGACAGGAAGAAACAGCTCCTCCTTTGCCACAAAGACCTGGGTTGGACTCCTCACCTCTGCCACTTAACTTGGAGTCTCAATGTCCTGAACTAGAAGAGAGGGTTGATGACACTTACGTCAAATGGTTATGGTGAGATATTAATGAGACAATACATCTCAAAGATAATCCGCAAATCATAAAGTGCCATAAAAATGGAAGTCATTTAAAAAAAAAAAAGGAAGTTATTCTTTTTCTGCCAGGGAGGTGACAATTCCTCGCAGAGACCTGTAGCTCTGAGAGACCAGTGTCCCTAAAGACCCTCAGACCTGGGCCCTCTCACATTACCTAAGTCTTAAATCTAAAGGACAGCAGCATCCTTACCGGTGGAGAGCCCATTCTTCTAAGTGGGCTGGGTGGCAATCCGGAAGAGCATTCTCCAAGCAGGGTCCAGGGCACCCATTCTTCCCTGAAGTCCCCAGCCACATCACTGAGAGTCATCAGTTCCTAAAGCAAGAGAACTCAGGATGCACCAGAAGCTCTCTGGGGAGTCTAACCATTGTCTCAAAACCAAAAGACAGCCTCAGTGCCCCCAGTATGCCCAAAGACACTCCCGTCCCACCCCTCCCCTGGACTAGAGTCGTTCTGAGATAAATTCTGTCAACCACAGAGGGTTGCTTTTCTTACCCTGTTTTTACATTAGCCTTCCCTCGGCCAATATTCACATCACAAAGTCAAGCCCAGAGCTCCCAAACACGTCTACAAGAAACATTAACCTTTTGAGGAACACATTGTCTATGATGGACAAGATAAACAAAGAAGAGAGTGTACAGTGGGGGGGGGGGGAGGCGGAGGTTGGGAGACTTGATTTTGCAAAAAGCTCTCCGGCTACATCTTCCTGGGCAAGCGAGGAAATTGTGGACTTGCTTATACTCACATCAGTTATGAGAACTGCTGACTTTTCCCGGTTTGTCGATTTGGTGTCAACCTCAAGGAACGGATTATGCAGAACCTGAGAAGTTCTGGGTACCATTCTATTTCAAGGGTTAATGAAAGCAGAAGGGAGATTTATTTATTTATTTATTTATTTTAATGTTTATTTCTTTTTGAGATAGAGAGAGACAGAGCATGAGCGGGATAGGGGCAGAGAGAGAGAGGGAGACACAGAATCTGAAACAGGCTCCAGGCTCTGAGCTGTCAGCACATAGCCCGATGCGGGGCTTGAACCCACAAAGCGTGAGATCATGACCTGAACTGAAGTCGGAAGCTTAATCGACTAAGCCACCCAGGTGCCCCAGAAAGGATTTTTTTTAAAAACATGGATAAGCTGTGAAATTTAATGAAGACAAGCACAAAGCAAAACCCCAAGGGGCTTGAAAACTACCATTACCACATTGGTAAAATGGATAGCAGTATCAAGAAATGATTATTTGGGAGGAGATGGTCAGCTTACTGGACGGATCAGTCATTTACTCAGTAACGTGTTGTAAAAGGGAGTAGGAGTCTCAAAGAAATAGAATGTTTTTTGTGGGTTTTTTTTTTTTTTTTGAGGGAGGGAGGGGTGGCTTAAAGAGTTTCCAATAGAAAAAACACAAGTCAGCCAGCTGAATCTGCTACAAAAAATTCTACGAGTGGTGGATGGACCAGCCTGGAGTGATCAAGCTTTCTTCTTTCTTGTCTTTTGTGACACCAGTCGAAGCACCTGGGTACCGTAGGCTACACCCGCACTTCTCTGGAAACATCTATGCATTTACACACATTGCTATCGGTCATCCATAAAGTACTGGGTTTTTAAAGACCTGAAAACCGTAGGGATACCTTTCATCCCTCTGCATTAAAACCTTAACAAGCGAAAAAATGTCATCAGGAGGGAAAACACTATAAAGTTTTGAGTATACATTTTATTTCTGCATCCGTTAGGAGACACAACTGCAGGGCCCACTTGCAGGGGACGGCGGGACTGAAGGAGGGAGAGTTCACGGCCACGGTCACGGAAACCGTGTTTCCCACCGCGTCTCCCGCTCCTCGCCCCCCGCCCCCTACCCCGTCTCGCGCTCCTCGCCCCCCACCCCAGGCGACCCCGCAGGCCCTGGAGCGCCCGGGTGCTGTGACTCAGGGCCATCGTGAGCGGTTTGTCCGCCGGGTTTATTAATAGGGACATGACCGCACGGGTGGGGCGGACACTCGTCCCCCACCCCCCTCGCGGTGCCGCAGGCCCTAATCAGGGCGCCGCGGTCACAGGGTCACGAGGCTAAGCTGAAGCCCGGGGACCACCGCCGAGGAGCAGGGAAATGGGTCGGGAGGATGGGGTGTCCCGACGACGGCACCGAAAGCCGCAGCCACCTCTCCCCACGCCTCAGCGAAACCCGCGGGCTCCGAAAGGCGAGCGCGGGGACCTGCCAGGGGCCACAGCGCGGCGGCGGGCGAGTCCCCTCCACGCCCCTCAGCAGCCCCCGGGCTACTGCCGCCGTCTCCTTCCCCGCGTCACTCACCGGCCCGGCCCGGCCGGGGATGGAGCAGGAAGTGAGAGGCCTCCACCGCCGAGCCGCACCCGGCCCACAAAGCCCCAGGCGGTCCCTCCTCGAACCCGACCGGCATTCGTGACAAGGCTGTGGGGACACAGGTGGGACTCTGGGCTCGAGCGCCCGCAGCCGGAAAACACCGCCCCCGTTTCATTACCATTGGCTACTCAGTGTCGGCGACCAGAAGCCCTGTCCGTTCATAGGTTGGCGGAGCTTTCGATCACCGCGCGGCCTTCTGGGAAATGTAGTTCCGAACAAGACCGCCTCAAAGGACTCGGATTCCCGGGATGCCCAGGTCCCAGCGGTGGCAATCGCTAAACCCAGTTCTCCCTACCGCAGGAACTGCTTCTCCCGAGTTGGGGGTGGGGGGGGGGGAGGGAGTGGGGGTCCGGAGACTGTACACCCGGAGAGGGGTCTGCAGATGCGAACCACCTGGCCTCCCTTGAGCGCCGCGGAGCAGCCTTGTACCAACGGCGGCGTCTCCCGCGCTCTGGCACCTCGCCCTTGCCGAACGCGGGGCAGCTCATCACCGTGGCCTTGTGGATCCTCCTAGGCCGGGTCCCCCATCCTGGGGGGGGGGCGTGGGGGGCGGAGGTGTCTGCCACCAGCCGATTCCAGGGCAACTCAGGCTGTGCATTAAGAAACCCCAAGCAGAAGCCTTTAGCGGAAAACAGACGTTCTGACCCCTCCCATCAGCATCCCAAGTCCCTCTCCATTGGTTACCTCGCCTGTTAATGGCCAGAGGAGGCTGGCCTGGGTGTCTTATCGCCTAGGAAACGTGGACTGGCTTCCAAAGCGTGGAGGCTCCCGGGCCTCATGTGAGAACCAGTGTTGCCTCGGGGCAAGCCTCCACCCAAAAAAATAATAGAAGCCTTTCTTTCTTTACCGTGAAGAAAATGCACCTGACCACCTATTTGTGGATTCATTCGGTGCAATTAAACACACACACACACACACACACACACACACACACACATCCCAGAACATTTTGGGGCACCTGGGTGGTTCCAGTAGGGTTAAGCATCTGACTTCGGCTCAGGTCATGATCTTATGGTCAGTGAGTTCGAGCCCCATATCGGGCTCTACGTCGACAGCTCAGAGCCTGGAGCCTGCTTCGGATTCTGTGTGTCCCTCGCTCTGCCCCTCCTCGACTCATGCTCTGGTCTGTCTCTCTCAAAAATAAATAATAAACATTAAAAAAAATAATTTTAAAAAAGAACATTTTGTGGTGGACTGTAAAATGCTTAGAATTACCAGCTCAAGGGCTAATGTGAAAGACTCCTTCAGTGCTAGTTCAATCATTCCTTTAACGTGTACGGTGCACCTTCCAACAAATATTCACTAGGAATGTTCTACATTCCAGATTGTTCTGAGCACTGTGGTTACCCATAGGAATCACATGTGACCATTGCTTTCCTGAAGCTCACAGGCCAACAGAGGAGAGAAACCATAGAAGATACACTGAAATGCCAAATAATATTTTCCTTTTTTTTTTCCATATAGCTACTGCATCTCAATTGTTCTGCTATAGAATTGTAGTCATCTGGAAGATAACCACAATAGCATTTTGGGGAATTCTGTCCACTGTAAACAAATGTCTGGTTTTGCTCAGCAGATATATTTTAGTTAAATGGAAATGGGAGGAACTGAAATCTCATGGGAACCCAGAAACAGCAAGAAACACCCTAGAAACCTACGGAATGCCCGGCCTCCTATAACCGGAACGTATTTCAGGACCTGGATAATCAGAGGTATCGCCAGGCCCCTCAGGAGTCTTTCTGGTATTCTGCCATCAGGAAGTTTCCATGGCTCTTTAATCAATCATCAGGAGGTATGGAAGGCAGCTAAGAGTCACTGCATCTGGCTGATGGCTTTCCCTTGCCTCCGTCTCTGGCCTCATTCCTTCTGCCCCAGCCTTGCTCTCTCAGCATTTTATTCATCTTTAAAAAAATTTTTTTAACATTTATTTATTTTTGAGAGAGACAGACAGAATGCGAGCAAGGGAGGGGCAGAGAGAGAGAGAGAGATGGAGACTCAGAATCCAAAGCAAGCTCTAGGCTCTGAGTTGTTGGCACAGAGCCGGACGCGGGGCTTGAACTCATAGACCACGAGATTATGACCCGAGGCACAGTCAGAGGGTTAACTGACTGAGCCACCCAGGCACCCCATCATTTTATTTATCATTATCAGATGTCTGGGGAGAAGGGAGGAGCAGCTTGGTCTCATGAGAAAAGCAGCCAGTAGAGAAATGAGGCCATGTACCCCAAGTGGCTACGTACAGAAGACCCGTGACCTATTAGGATTTGGGTGCTCTACAGGTGTGGCAGAGAGGGGATGGAGGAGGGGAAGGAAGCTGAGAAGACATCATGGAGGATGAAAAGGGTTTTACTTTTTTATTTTTTAGGATCTTTATGAAAAGTGAGTTTTAGCAGGTGGTATAACTCCCTCTAAGAGAGGGAGTATATTATCTATTGGTGCATAACAAATTGTCCCTCAAACTTTGTGGGTTACAACAGCATTTATTATGGTTTCTATGGCTCAGGAATCCAAGCAGTTTGGCTGGGTGTCTCTAATTGAGTCTCTCATGAGGCTGCATCCAGGTGCTGGCTGGGGCTGCAGATAATCTGAAGGCCTGACTGGGGCCGGACGATCCAAGCTCACACATACACAGGCTGCCTCCCCACACATAGGCCTCTCCTCACAACATGGCAGCCAGTTTCCCCAGAATGAGCAATCTGAGAAAAAGAAGCAGAAGCTCACTGGGGCGCCTGGGTGGCTTAGTCGGTTAAGCGTCCGACTTTCGCTTAGGTCATGACCTTGCGGTTCGTGGGTTCGAGCCCCGCGTCGGGCTCTGCGCTGACTGCCAGCTCAGAGCCTGGAGCCTGTTTCAGAGTCTGTGTCTCCCTCTCTCTCTGACCCTCCCCTGCTCATGCTGTGTCTCTCTCTCTCTCNGCCTGTTTCAGAGTCTGTGTCTCCCTCTCTCTCTGACCCTCCCCTGCTCATGCTGTGTCTCTCTCTCTCTCCTAGAAATAAAAAAAAAAAAAAAAAAAAAAAGAAGCTCACCTATTCTTGGAAGTGATATACCATCCCTTCTGTCATATGCTTTTGATCATGGAGACCAACTCTGGTACGGTGTGGGACAAGGACATGAACACTAGAAAGCATGCATCAGTGGGCCACCTCGGAGACCAGCTACCACAGGACTAAAGTAGACTTGAGGACATTTTACTTGTGACATACTCTATCAAACTCTTGTGACACCTCTTTAAGAAAACTTGTGGTAGAGATCTATACGTATGGGGAAGCAGGAATGAACAGTCACAATGTACACAGTATGACCCAGATGTACTAAATAATGTTTTTTTAATTTTAGAGAGAGTGTGTGTGTATTTTAGAGCAGGGGAGAGGGGAGAGAGAGAGAGAATCCCAAGCAGGTTCCCAAGGCGGGACTCCATCCCACAACCCAGGGATCATGACCTGAGCCAAAATCAAGAGTTGGACACTCAACTGACTGAGGCACCCAGGCGCCCTTGTACAATTTTTTTTTTTTAAAGTCTCCATGATTGAACTAAGATTCCTCAGGAGATTCTCATTACTGGGCAGTTCTTCAGCTTACTGGTTAAAAATAACATTCTCTTTGGGGTTTAAAATAGTCAAATTGGGGTAAATCGTGGTCAGTTTAAAGTTCAAACTCCATATGAAAGCTGTCTCTCTCCCCCAATGGTCTCCTCTCCGCTTACTCATTCCCAAGATGTTATCGGGGGCTAGGGGGTGCCGGGGGGGACCCCAGTTCTCCAGCTGACCTCCGCTGACTCCTGCTTGCTCCACGTGCAGCTCACCCCACCAGATCTCTATTGGCCTCTCTACGCATTTCATCGCCACTGACCCGTCCAAGCCCGGGGGCCTGTTCTCTGTGGTGCCTGCTTAGGCTGCTGCCCTGAAGTCTTGGCAATGGGTCTTCAGCCCCACAGTGGCCCTTTGGGAGGCTTCCTGGCTCTCAGTTTCAGCCTCTCCCATTACCCTCACTGGGAGCACCTGGAGATTCCTGACACCCTCCATGCTACACAGCATAAGCCTTGGGGTGCTATTCTGACCCTCATTCTGCCCGATTCATTTACGGCTGCCATTTCCACCCTACCGTGACTGTGTCATGTTGACTCAGGGATGCTCTATGGGTCCGTTTCCTCTGATAGTTCAAAAAAAGAAACAAGCTGCAATTTCTTTCAGGTTTTTTTTTAATAGCTAGGTTTCCTTCATTAAAAGAAATTGTTAATGTTTATTTATTTTTGAGAAAGTGTGGGAGGGGCAGAGAGAGAGGGGGACAAAGGATCCAAAGCAGGCTCCAGGTTGACAGCTGAGAGCCCGATGCTGGGCTCGAACTCATGAATTGTGAGATCATCACCTGAGCTGAAGTCGGATGCTCAACCAACTGAGCCACCTAGGTGCTCCGTTTCCCTTTCAGTTTCCCTTTCAACCTCTTTGGGGTTCTTATCATCACTTTCTCACTTCTCTTCCCACTGGTGATAAACTTCCTGGCCTCCTTTTAACGGTGGGAGGCTGCATGGAAGCCCCTCTCTAAGGAACTGTGCTTGCTGTAAGAGGAACCTGACTACTGTGGTTTGGCCTAATCAGGGGCTATTTTTCTCAGGTATCAAGAAGCCTGGAAAGTAGCGCTGGGAGGCCATCAAGGACTCAGATGACCTCTGTCTCTCTGCTCTGCCAACCTTACTGTGAGGTTTTTGTCTTGGTCACTTCTAGTCATCATGTCCGGGTTCTGGAATAGGATGTCGTTCCACCATTAAATGCTATCACCACTGAAATCATGTAGGACATGGAATAATGAAAGATGTAAAAAAAAAAATGTGGCAAAACAGGTGCATCAAGTATGATCCCACTTGTATGTGGTGAATATTTGTCATTTGTCTACTAGCTCACTGGTACTGAGTACTACGAGAAAGAGCACCCGATCTTGAGGAAACAGCACTCATGGTTCAGATGCAAGCTGGCATCTTCTTACATGACCCTCCCTCTGTCACAAGGTTTGATTTAGAAGTGGGTACTTGAGGGACACCTGGATGGCTCAGTCGGTTAAGTGTCCGACTCTTGATTTTGGCTCATGAGCTCGTCGTCTGTGGGACCGAGTGCCATGCTGGGCTCTGTGCTGACATCACAGAGCCTGTTTGGGATCCTCTCTCTCCCTGTCTCTCTCTGTCTCTCCCCTGCTTGCACTCTCTCCCTCTCTCTCTCTCAAAACAAATAAATAAACGTTACACAATATATATTAACCAAAAGAAGTGGCTACTTGACTCAGGTGGCCAGTCACAGCCCTGTGCCACCTTGTGATGACAATTTGTCAGTGAGTATGCTGGTATCTCGAGCAGAGCCTGTCAGGGACCTTCCCTGGCACCTCTTAATCTGGAACCAAAGGAAAAAGACCTCTTCCTCCCTACAGGTGAAGATGGCGGGACGGGAGGCAATGGGAATGGGCCGCCATGTTTCCCAGCGGCTGACCTGCAGTCTAAGTGCATGAACGGACCGCAGTGAGCTGGACGCACAGAGCAAAGTCCTGAGAGCCTTCGAGTCTTCGGTCACAGAGGCCAGAAATAACCCTGACTTTTCCTTAAGTTTGTTTTGTGAGTCAATAAACATTCCTTTCTTGCCTAAGCTAATTTGAATGGTAAAGTTCAGGCACTCGAAACAAAAATTCCCCAATAATCGAAATTTTAAAATTCCCCAATAATGCACCATTTCCGTTTAAAAAAATCCATGCACGTGTATACACACATATATGTATATACAGCTATAAGAATAGCTTTTGTTCATCTGTATTTAAAATTTTCCTCAATGACCCAATTCAGTTTTTAAGGCCATGTTGTATAATTACCCATTTAAATGTACTCTTTGTAAAGGGTTCAGATAATTCACCTAAAAGAGAATACAATTAGAAACAAAATGTGCAAAAACAACAGTAACAAAATGTGTGGCTTTCATCCTTGCTGATAATAACAAATGAGGAAAATTATTTGAAACCCTTTTAAACTGAACCACTTCCAGGATAATTAACCAATTCAACTTCTTGGTAGAGATTCAAAACAAAGTATCTATACCTAATGTGATAAAAAGGATCAGGCTGGGATTATCACCATCATATCATATCAAGTATGATAACGAGGTCGTTCTCTTAAACTCCCTCTTTACAGAAGATATACTGTATCTTTACAGAAGATATACCGTATCTTTACAGAAGATATACCGTATCTTCTGTGAAGATGTGTAATTTGGAGGAGGGCCTGAGATTTCCAGGAAGCTTCCCCACAACCTCCTTCCAGGATCTGGGAACCAACTTTGTTTCCTGTCTTTGGTAATCCGACATCACTTATAAAAGACTTTTCTGTGTACTGTGAATCGTATGACGAAACCTTTGTGACCCTCACAGGTTAATTTTTGCAAGACAGAAATTCTGTTTGAAAATGCATGTTGAAATCACATATTCCATCACCACGGGGAGTTTCTTACTTCCTCTAACAAAAAACCTTTTATTTATTTTTATGATCATGTAAGTAATATGCATTCATTTTTTTAAATTAGAAAGATAGAGAACTAGAGAAACCCTACCATCCACTAAAAAAAAAGTTAATATTTTGCTACATATCTTTTCTGTGTGTGTGCGTGTGTGTGTGTGTGTGTGTGTGTCCTAGAAAATTTTGGTTGACCGGAAGCTACAGTTCGGATATCTCTAGGGAGAAGAGGAGAATCCTTCCCTTCTTTCCTTATTCCATTTGATGTTCTTATATGTGCTGGCATCCGAGGTCCTTTACTTTTTTGTTTCAAGAAGGAGAGTGGAGATTTTGGGGAAAGAGGTACTTGGTGAGAAGAAGAGATGAAGACAATGTGGGAGACAGTTTGATGTCTGGTGTGTTTCTTCGGCCACTTATGAAAGACTGAGAAACACGGGGAGGAGCTATGCTCAACAGAGGCTGGCTGGGTCCTTGGGCGCTGGCCATGATCTCCGAGGCGCAGGGATGCCTTGAACCTAGAACTGGAGAGGGCCCCCCTCCTAACCCGTGGGGTGGCCCTGCTGGTGGCCAGCGCTCTGCCACACAGTCAGCAGAAGAAGGGAAGGGTGTGGGACGGCCGAGTTTCACAACCAGAGGAGTGTCACATCTGGAGATGCCCCTAAGGAAAGGGAAGAATTTTCCGAGTGAGGGTGAAGATCTTGCAGTCAGGGGGATGAAAAGCAGAGCAGCACTTCTCAAATCTTAACAGCTGTGTGAATCGCCTGGGGAAAGGCTTGTGGGTTTGTTTGTTTGTTTGCTTTTATTTTTATTATTTTTTAAAAAAATTTTTTAATGTTTTATTTATTTCTAGGAGAGAGAGAGAGAGAGAGTGTGAGCAGGAGAGGGTCAGAGAGAGAAGGAGTCACAGACTCTGAAACAGGCTCCAGGCTCTGAGCTGGCAGTCAGCACAGAGCCCGACGCGGGGCTCGAACCCACGAACCACGAGATCATGACCTAAGCGAAAGTCAGACGCTTAACCGACTAAGCCACCCAGGCGCCCCTGTTTGTTTACTTTTAAATGCCTTTTAAAATTTTGGCCTTTTTTTTTTTTTACACTTTTTTTTTTTTAATGTTTTTATTTATTTCTAGGAGAGAGAGAGAGACAGTGTGAGCAGGGGAGGGTCAGAGAGAGAGGGAGTCACAGACTGAAACAGGCTCCAGGCTCCGAGCTGGCAGTCAGCACAGAGCCCGACGCGGGGCACGAACCCACGAACCGCGAGATCATGACCTAAGCGAAAGTCGGACGCTTAACCGACTAAGCCACCCAGGCGCCCCTTTTTTTACACTTTTAATGACATTAACACAGCACTTTATTTACTAGGAACCTTCTACTTTACATGACTTCCATAGATGATCCCAAATAAAGCCACAAGATTTTCATGTTGTATTACTTGGGGAACAATGAATATTAGAGGGCATTTCTTTCTACTATAATTATTTAAAATATTTTTAATGTTTATTTTTGAAAGAGAGAATGGCAGAGTGCAAGCAGGGGAGGGGCAGACAGAGAGGGAGACACAGAACCTGAAGCAGGCTTCAGTCTCTGAGCTGTCAGCACAGAGCCTGACGTGGGGCTCGAACTCACAGACCATGAGATCATGACCTGAGCTCGTCGGATGCTTAACCCACTGAGCCCCACAGGTACCCCTGGCTTGTTTCATTTAACATAATATTTTCAGGGCTTATCTATGTCATACCACGTATCAGTATTTTCATTACTTGTTATGGCTGAATAATATTCCATTGTGTGGACAGACCTTATTTGTCTATCCACTCATCAGCTGATGTGGGAGCCTGTATATTAAATATGTATTCTGATTCAGCAGGCAGGGCTAGGATGGGGTCTGAGGTTCGGCCTTTCTAGCAAGTTCCCAGGTTGTTGTCCAATATTGCTAGTTCAAGCACCTCGCCTTGAATGTAAAGGATTTAGGGGCACCTGGGTGGCAGAGTCGCTTGAGTGTCCAACTTCGGCTCAGGTCCTGAGCTCACAGTTCGTGAGTTCCAGCCCTGCATCAGGCTTGCTGCTGTCGGCGTGGAGCCCGCGTTGGATCTTCTGACCCCCCCTCCCCCCGCCCTTCCCCCACTTGTGCTCTCTTTTAAAAAATAAAAAATGAATTAAAAAAAAAGGAATATAAAGGATTTAGCTCTAAACACCACATTTTAGAGCATCGCAATTTAGATAATTAATACAACTAAAAGCCTGAAGCACACTGGTTAAACACACACATACACAGTTGTTTTTTTTTTTTTAAAGGAGCAGAATCCTGCCATTATTATGCTTTTGTCAAGGTGAACGAGGCATTAATCTTCAGCATGGAGTTCTGCCTTCAGTAAGGCCTTTACTCACCAGGAACACATGGAAAAACTTTTGTTGCACAGCCTGGACTTGACTTTGACAAATAGTATCAAGCACTGAAATCTGTAAGCACAAATGGTCATATTAATTACAGTGAATGTTTATTATGAACAACTGAGATCCGAGGCCCCTGATTTATGAATTTGTTCATTGCTCTTCTTCCTTTCATGGGTTGTTCCTAAGGAGATGGGAGTGTCTCTTTTGTGAGAATGTTTCTGAGCTCAGAATATCAAGAGAAGTGCTGATACACATCAGCCCAAATAAGTTACCAAATTTCATCTAAAAAGTCACTATGTACCGCTAAGGAAGGGAACAAAACTGCCGATGAAACTCTGACATGATGTCGACTGTAAGGTGCATCCTGACTTCTACTGATGCCACTACAAGGCAATAAGATGTGCGTTTCAGGATCAGTGACACACGGCAACGTCCCATGTGCCCCAGGCTCACTTTATGTGCCACTGAAATCCTGTACTGGCCTTGCTTTCCAGCCAGAGCACGAGGAGTGGGCTCCAAGTCACCCACAGTGCCCGGCCTCACACCGGCATCCACGCCTCCACCCTCTGCCAAGCGGGTTCCCTGCTGCTGCGGATGGAAGAGACCTCATGGGGCACGTCCAAGTCCACCAATGTAGGGCGATTCACCCTGCAGGCTCACGCTGGCCACAGAGGCTATTTTGGGTTCCAGCATTTGCTATAACTGCTGGAAGAGGAAGGCTGCTCAATTCATAGGAGAGAAGAGGCTGATATCCTGAAGGGGCAAATGTTGACGAATGAGAGACTTTCATAGCCTAGAGATGACGTTATCCCCAGCTTCAGCCCCCCCCCCCCCGAAGCTCAGAGATGATGCAGCAGTTTTACCTGGCTTCTCAAAGACGTCCTGTGTGACACAGGAAGTAACTGTGTTTGCAAAAGCTGTGGCCAGCACAGGGATGCACGCTCTCACATCTGCTCTTCCTCTTCACTTGCTTCCCTCCCCTTTCCCCATCCCTCCTGCTTTCCTGGGAATAGATGCTCCCATAAAGTCTGGTATAGAAACCTCGCCTCAGATTCTGTTTCCTAAGGAACCCGGGCTAAGACGTCATCTCCACCGATGCACTTTGTGAGAATGAAGTCACGTGGGGATGTGGATGGGGAAAGAAGGGGCGGTGTGAAAAGAGAGAAGTAACAGAGATGTTCTAGAATATCCCGAGTTATCAGTATGAGGGCTTAACTGATTTCTTACCCACCAAACACACCAGACATAGATCTCCATGATCAGGTGAATAGCTACCATCTGCCTTTAGAAGGGAGGGTGGAGGGGCGCCTGGGTGGCTCAGTCGGTTAAGCGTCTGACTTCAGCTCAGGTCGTGATCTCACGGCTTGTGAGTTCAAGCTCTGTGTCAGGCTCTGTGCTGACAGCTTGGAGCCTGGAGCCTGCTTCGGATTCTGTGTCTACCTGTGTCTCTGCCCCTCCCCCATTCATGCTTTGTCTCTCTCTTAAAAAATAAATATAGATGGGAAGAGTGGGTTCAATATCTGACTTCTTAGAGACTGATACTAATGGTAACAACAGCTCCTTCAACCCAGCATTTCCACTTCTAGGAATTAATCCTACAGACACAGTTCCGTATGTGCACAGAGTGCACAAAGTGTACAAAGATGTGTATAAAGATAATATCATACTGCTGGTTACAATGCCTATAGTAACCAAACACTGGAAGCATCCATAATGTCAGACAATATGAGACAGGCTAAATGAATTAGGACATACCCAGGCTGTGAAATACTATGTAGCCATTAAAAATAATGAGGAAAATCTAAATGTTCTGATGTGGACTGCCTTCTAAGATGCAGTATTACATGAGGGAAAAAAGCCAACAACAAAGTAAGATATGAAGTCTACCAACATTGGAATTAAAAAGATCCATATACAAAGGCACCTGGGTGGCTCAGGACTAAGAGTCCGACTCTTGATTTCAGCTCAGGTCATGATCTCACAGTTCATGGGATTGAGCCTTACATCGGGCTCTGAGCTGACAGCACAGAGCCTGCTTGGGATTTTCTCTCTCTCCCTCTCTCCGCCCCTTAAAATAAATAAACAAATGTAAAAATATATATATTATGTAAACACATTTCTATCATTCATAGATTTCCTCTATGAATACACAAGAAACTGCTAAAGATTGGTTACTTCTGAAGAAGGCAACGATTCCTGTGGCCTGAGGGACAGAGGGGGAAGTGAGACTTATTTATTTACTTCCATTTTTAACAGTGTGTTCAACCGCCTAAACTTTAAAAAAAATTTTTTTTTGTAATGTTTATTTTTGAGAGAGAGAGAGAGAGAGTGTGTGTGCACATGAGCAGGGGAGGGGCAGAGAGAGAGGGAGACACAGAATCCGAAGCAGGCTCCAGGCTCTGAACTGTCAGCACAGAGTCCGACGAGGGCTTGAACTCACAAACCGTGAGATTGTGACCTGAGTGGAAGTCGGACGCTTAACCGACTGAGCCTCCCAGGTGCCTGCACCTAAACCTTTTTTGAGCACTCTCCAGGTGTTTCTCTTATTCTGCAAGGTGGCAACTGTTAGCATCCTTATTTTGCAAAGAGGAAACCAAAGTAGAGGAGGTGGAATGACTTGCCCAGGGTCACACACAGCTATGGGAGCCAAGACAGGACTCAACACTGGATCTAATCCCAAAATCTGGGGGGACCAACTCATCCCGATTCGCCTGGGACTTTCCTGGTTTTAGCAGTAAATGTCCCTCATCCTGAGAAATGCTTAAAAAGTGTCCTGGTTTTCAGACGGAAAGCCCGCAGCCGGGAAGCTCCCTCAGGCTGGGACAAGGCAGGATGGCCGGTCACCCTAAGGAAATCCCAGATCTTGGCCACTTTTCTCTGCTACCTTCCTGAGGAACTCACATAGTCTATCCGATCCAGCATGGACAAGTACCTATAAACCAGGAATTTGTAGTTGCCCTGGGACACCTTCTGAGGTCTCTCCATGCTGGAGTGGGTCCCTGGGGCCAGTATGCACTGCCGGTCTCCACTCTTCCCTGCACGGATGGTTGCAGTGTGAGAGGAGTTTTGATCCAGGTCAAAAACCCAGTGGTCGCAGATTCTCTCTCCTAGGAGTGTGGCCCTGACACTCTGGAGACTCCCTACTTGAGGCTGCAGGCCCCATGAGGGCTCGGTAACCCTGGGCTGAGGTGCCCCTGGGGACCCGTGCAGTGAGCTGAGGAGGCTGGCTTGCCAAGCAGAAGAATGAATCCAATGTCAGACAGCAGATGCGGGAGGTCAAGGGTGCGGGCTCCGGGGTGGGACCACATGGCTTCTCGATTTTGGTCACAGTCCCCTGTGGGCTTGGTTTCATGGCTGCTCCTGGACATTACCAGGTGCTCTGTACCTTCCCATCAGATCTCCCTTTGGGTCTGCAGCTAGTCTACGTGGGTTTCTGTTCCTTGAAAACAAACATTCCCTAAATGATGAAAACAACGCTGATTAAAAATGTAATCTTTGCTGAGGCACCCAGCATGCAACTCATCTTGGGGTTGTAGGTTCGAGCCCCACATTAGGTGTAGAGATTAAAAATACAATCTTAAAGGGCGCCTGGGTGGCTCAGTGGGTTAAGTGTCTGACTTCAGCTCAGGTCATGAGCTCACAGCCAGTGAGTTCAAGCTCTGTGTCGGGCTCTGTGCTGACAGCTCCCAGCCCGGAGCCTGCTTCAGATTCTGTGTGTCTCTCTCTCTGCCCCTCCCCTGTTCATGTCTCTGTCTCTCTCTCAAAAGTAAATAAACATTAAAAAATTTTTAAAAATAAAATCTTGAAAAATATGTATGTGTATATACACACACACACACACACGTGTGCATGTATGTATGTATACTGTGTATATATACAATCTTTGCTTCCTGAGGCCTGGCCACCCAAGGCAGAGAACGCTGATATTAGCTAATGTAGGGGCCAAAGGACAATTTCTTTGGTCCTTCAATTCACAGGGCTCTTGTCTTCCTTTTAAAGTAGGTAGGTAGGGGCGCCTGGGTGGCTCAGTCAATTAAGCGTCCGACTTCGGCTCAGGTCATGATCTCACAGTTCGTGGGTTCAAGCCCCGCATCAGGCTCTCTGCTGACAGCTGGCTCAGAGCCTGGAACCTGCTTCAGACTCTGTGTCTCCCTCTCTCTCTGACCTTCTCCTGCTCACGCTGTCTCTATCCCTCTCTCAAAAATAAATAAAACATTAAAAAAAAAATTTAAAGTAGGTAGGTCGCAGCAACCTCTTACTTGACACATCCCCCAAAGCAAGGGAAGCAAGAGCAAAAATGAACGATTGGGACCTCATCAAGATTAAAAGCTTCTGCACGGCAAAGGAAACAACCCACAAAACTAATAGGTAACCAACAGAATGGGAAAAGATAGTTGCAAATGACATATCAGATAAATGGTTGATATCCAGAATCTACAAGGAACTCACCAAACTCCACACCCGAGAAACAAACAACCCAGTAAAGAAATGGGCAGAAGACATGAACAGACACTTCTCCAAGAGGACATCCAGATGGCCAACAGACACATGAAACGATGCTCAGCATCCCTCCTCCTCAGGGAAATACAAATCAAAACCACACTGAGATACCACCTCACGCCAGTCAGAGTGGCTAAAATGAGCAAATCAGAGAACACGAGATGTGGCGAGGATGTGGAGAAATGGGCACCCTCCCACACTGCTGGTGGGAATGTAAACGGGTGCAGCCCCTCTGGAAAACAGTGTGGAGGTTCCTCAGGAAGCTAACAACAGAACTCCCCTAGGACCCAGCAATTGCACTGCTAGGAATTTACCCAAGGGATACAGGAGTGCTGATGCATGGGACACACGTACCCCAATGTTCATAGCAGCACTCTCAACAATAGCCAAATCGTGGAAAGAGCCTAAGTGTCCATCAACAGACGAATGGATCAAGAAGATGTGGTTTATCTATACCATGGACTACTACATGGCAATGAGAAAGGATGAAATCTGGCCATGTGTAGCAACATGGATGGACCTTGAGGGTGTTATGCTGAGCGAAATAAGTCAGGCAGAGAAGGACA